ATCGTCTAACCTAACTTCACCTCACCTCCACTCTCGGTGGCCGCCGCGCGGCTGGCGATCTCGTGTATGATTTCCAGCCGGTCCGCCATTGGTTGGCGGGTCCGTGCGCGGTTACCGCCTCTACCATTAAACAAAACGCGCTGCGAGAGAAGAGGGACCAAATTAAAAATCGAAGGGGTTTGGGTCTGTAGCAGCATTTTCGGCCTTGCCACGGCATTGTTGTTGCGATTCGCTTGATCCTTTTGCGAGCATCTGCTTGTTTAGTAGCGGCCTGCCGATCCGAACCGCACCTGCAATTATTTCCCTCACACGCGACCGTGAAGGAAAATATTTTCGGAATTCTGTCGCGGAAATGACATAATGAATAAGCATTGTGTGATATCATGCACAGTAATTTTGGAGCCCAAGATGTCCGATGATGTATTGGGATGTATTTTTGGATGTTTTACGCAATTATTATAAATTACAATAGTGTGTTTATATTTTCTCACTTTACCGTTCAGCTTCATATTGTTACAGCTTATATATTGATATTCTTAATATTAATTTGTAAAATTAGCTATTCGAATCGTATCGAATCGCCGGTTAGTTTAAAACATGCGGATTCTGTTTACGCTACGTCGCATATACTATCGTGATTGAAAGTGCAGGTTGAGTCGGTCGTGACCAGCGCATTCGGAGCATAACGCGATTATACCCGCATACATCACGGCGCGTCTTGAAAAATTCATATCGGAGCGTTCAGAACACAAACGATTGTTTCATTCACAATATTTTGCTGAGCAATTTAAGTACATCTCGTTCAATTTAAAAACTTACTGATTTTGCGCTTATAAAAGTTTGCAATAAAATCTCTAGATTCTATACTTTCTTTACTTTTGTTTGGTAAAAATTTGCATTTCTTCTTCCATCAAGAGGTTAGCGTAAATACTCGACTTCTGTATTTTTATTGGCGAGTACAAATGAGCCCCAATAAATATCGAATTCTCACCGAAGGTGGTCAAAGGGGGAGATGCCACTGCTATCGTGTCGAGAAGAAAGCGCGATACCTCGATATCTCTTAGGTTAAATCGTGGGGTTAACTCTTCTTCGCCATGTCCTCTTCCTCACTCACGTACGACGCGCCGGGTTCAGGGAACAGGAGGTGGCGGAGGAAGAGGATCCAGCATTGTTCGCGGACAATGTAAGCATGTCCGGAACAAAGAGCGGTAATCGACCCGTGTAACATTTATAACGTAATGGGAGGGCCTCTCCGGCCCATAATAATATCAATTACTGGGCCCGAAGGAGCAAAGGAGACACCGCGAGGACGAAGAATGTAGGAAAGAGAGCCGACGAGGTTGGCGAACGCGGGTGGTGAGCCTTAGATCGAGGGGAGCGGATCGGCAACGCGGATTCGCGGATCTGTCGGGCAGAAAATTGACGACGAGACCCTATTCTGCCTCTTCTCGGTCGGCCAGCTGTCTTCGAGATCGTAAGAGGACGCCGTGACGCACTCGTTAAGCATCGTAATCGGAGAGTAACAAGATTCGCGTGTGAAGCACGACGACTTCGTGATTCCTGATTGCCCCAGTGGTATATCCTGATGATACGCTGTAGCTACATAAATTTTTTTCAATAATGCTCCTGCGCGATGGCCTCTTAACGCGTGTTTACTTGATTATTTCACTTGACGGGATTTAATAAAGCAATATGTTCTGTTTGGTCATAAAAATGTATAAGATACGGTTTCTTCGATGTATACGTACACATCTGCACCTTTAAGAAATTATTATTTTCGACGGAACGTTGTATATGTTAAGAAGCGCGCATTAATTAAAAGGCAGAAACTCGGCGCCGATAGTTTTGTTCATAAATATACCGGTAAAGTTTCAAAACGATGCGCGGAAATTAGAATACGATACTACGAAGATGATGATCCGCCGCCATGATTATTAGCATTAGGCGTCTGTCGCGCCTATGAATTTTGCGGGATCATTTTTGAGGTTCCTGAGATCGGCCGGTGTTGTTCAGGGCAGGTGGGGAGCGGCACAATACCGGGCCGAGTATCATAGTTTTATTCTTTCCACGGTCGAGGAAAAAATGTAATTGGCTTGACCAAAATCTATCGCCGAGGGTGGAGAAGACCGCGCGCGTATGGGGGATGCATAGGGATGCGAACGAGGGAGAAAAAGCGCTTGTGCGAAAGGAGCGACCTCTCGTAATAACAATGATTAGGACAACGCAACGGTTCGTAAAAAAAAAAAAAGAAACAGGAGAAACCGAAGAGAGAATCGTGCACACGAACGAAGCACCTTCGACTCCATCGCAAAATGGCGGCGGGCAGAGCGGCTCGCGCGAAACATCGTTGTAACAAAAGATTTTTTCTCGATTGCTAGAAAATACGGTCTATTACCTCTGGAAAAACGTACATATAATTCTTATACACTTTTACATACTTTGATAATGTATAATTTAAAACAAAAGATTAAATTTTAACGATTACATAGCCATGCAAAACTTTTTTATTTTCTTATCTTCATCTCCTCACAATCACATATTTTTTCTTTTAGTAAATATTATAAAAATATTTCTAACAGAGTAATATCACACAAAGAAAGTAATAAACGCGGAGTGAGTAACTCCGACGAAATGTTTAGCTGGTAATAATATTTTTGTGACAGATGTGTATAGTGCATCAAGGTTTCCTCGGGTGTCAAATCGGCGACGGTCAGCAGCGTAACGAGTGGGATGCGTGTCCTGCCGTGCTCAAGGCTTTCGTGCACATCGCAACAGTCCGCAAGAAAGTGGAGCATTCCCGTCCCGTAACGTATGCACGCGATTTTTTGTCTCTTCTCAAGTTCTGCCTCCCTTTTCGAGAATCGTTAAAAATCCAGTTCGTTGGCGCCACGTGTGATTTCGGACTCTCCGCGAAGCGCGCGTTGGAAAAAAGCCCTGGCAAGCGAGCGGTGCACTTATGTCACTATTAAAAACGCATTAATCCCGAATTCTCTGGCCCGAATCACGCGCTTTATACCGACGTAAACGATCAGCGTGCTGACGGTTGCATAGCGCGCGCTATCCGAGACGATGTATTTGCAAGTTGTGCAAATATTACCGTATTCGCGTTCTTGCTCGCAATGTTTAAAATAGTCATGTCCGATTTCGACGAACGCATCATAGTGTCGAAGAATCGACAGTTACTGCGTCATTCTTCGCAAATAAAATACAAAGTTTTTATATTACTGTAAACTGCAACTATATATACTTCCAAGTCTTTGTATCAGCTAGACAGGATACGCGCATAAAAAAATATTTTTAATCTATAAAAAAATAAAACATTTTCTGCCTCGACGATACTGAACGAGACGGAGTTTCAAGAAATCTGCGAAAAAGAGAGTTTGCATTTGTCATCGCGCGAGAATCCAACGATTGTTCTGCACTTTGAATTAAAAGGCAGCAATTCAGTCAACCCCAACGAGGGGCGGTGGACGGAATGGATGTAATATTACGAACGTCATTGACAACGAGAGAATAACGACCGATGTTGCCGTACTCGAAAGCGCGACGATGCGGTGCGGGAAAGCTGGGACTGCTTCTAAAGCTCCGCTCGCCGTCACCGCCGCTAATGGCACTTCTCTCCAACCGACGAGGGAGAGAGATTTTAAGCTCGTTTCGCGGGAAAACTGTTGATTTTCCTCCGAATGAGGAGTTATTTTCTCGCTGCATCGTTTCTCAATCATCGATCAAACCGCGAGTGCACATCGTGTGCGTTAAAAAGTGATTTACGCTACATTTTACTGGATTGCGTTTAAAACAACGTGTATGTGTGTTAAATAAAAATATAACTCTCTTCTTATAAATTTCTGATCGATTAACTTCGAGTTCCGCGAAATATCACGAAGAGAAGCGAATACATAAAGACCATAGTATTTAGTACTAGAAGATCATCGTTTCGCTGAACCATTTTTAATAAGATCGCGGCACAAGACGATGCTTTACCGGTACGAGTTCTTTGTGGTCACTCCCCTTCTCATTCCTAATAATGCATCCCCGATACAAAAAAGTATCATGATATCCACGAGAAGTCAAAGAGAGAACGGAAAAAAGACTTGGCGTCGTCGGCGGAACGGAATCAAGAGGGAGCGCGACGAGAGACACCCTTCTGCCTAATTCGATCGAAGCCTCATTATGAGCTTAGAGCTGATCGTCCCAAGCAAACCTAGCATTAGTATAAACACGGAGTACCATTATCTGGGCCGCGGCGGTGGCCCGTTTTGAATACGAAAGGAGCAGAGATATTATGTTAATCGGCCGAGCGATATTACAATATGCGACCGATCGCGTTGCTCTTTTTTCTCAGACACTTTTTTCAGATTTTGCGCCCACGTATTTACGCAGCGTCGCATACATGCATATACGCACACATTTGTATCTCCTCGTGGCGGGAAACTATATGAGATGTAATATAAAAAAAAAAAGTAATTAATAAACGGAAGGAGAGAACGGCGCGGCGCGCCGATGCTGCTGTCTCCCATGAATATTTATTTGGGTCAGACTCGGCTTGTTCGAGGTTGCCTCTTGACGCTTCGTTAAGCGCCCGACAAAGGGTCCCGATTGTCGGCCGTGCCCTTTTTAACTCCCATGAAGTAATTAGACGTCGCGAAGACATCCTATCTAGTCGTCGTCTGGTTCGCAGCGTCTGCCAGAATCCGAACGATGGGGTTGCCGAAAATTATCGATAAGAACGGAGTCAACACAAATCTTATTTCGAACTCGTGTCACTACGTGTCACTTTTCGCGTTCGTCTTCGCAGATCAGGACGATATAAATTGTTGGGGAAAGAATTAATTGCTCGGTTCATGAAGCTGATTGATTGAGAGATATAGATTCATCAAACATTTCTTTATTTAAATATTTTGTATGAGAACTAAAATGTACGTGTGTATCAAGTATCAACTGTAATGATCTTCAAGTGTAAATCATTAAAGTTGTGATGAAGTTTGTAAGTAGGGTGTAATTGTAATTTTAATAAAATTAGAGCTCAAAATAATATTGAAGTACAATCGCACATTTTTTATAACTTTTACTAAATTATACGATGTTTCGTGAATTAAAAACTAGAAAAAAATTATCTTTTGACAAAAATTCTTTGAGAAAAATAGGAAGAGAAATACGAGCTCGTTAAAAATATTTGCTCGTACAATTACGCAGTGGAATAATTGCGCAGATACATGCTAAATTCTTGGAAGTGATTTACGACACGACTTTCTGCGTATTAACGCGTCTTCGCTCGCGTCGGGGCTATCAATTATTGAAGTAAGTTTAATTGCAATCACGTACGTAACCACCGCTGCAAATATATCCGCGGCCTGTACTTACAATTACATCACGAATTGTATAGTCTACAAGTCGAGAGAGCTAACGCGCGTAATTTTAGGTCTTGCCTTCTCTCATTGGTTATCTCTGAACATTATCGAAGTAGCAATCATTTTCAAATGTTAGCGCGAAACAATCCCTGCTATTGTTAATAATATCGATAGAAAATTACTAACATTTTTGATTGATTCTACGATTGAGAATAATTTCATTTAATCTGAATTAATTTTTCTCATTATTGGTCGTCGTTTTGTAGTAAATTTACCAGCTAATCAATGTGTGAAAAATATCGATTGATTGTCAGTATTATCTCCAATAGATATATCGCGCAAGAAACAATTCGGACAAACGTTTAACTCGAATTAATTGTTTTATTAAATAAAGCGATATTTTGCAAAACATTTTAACTTGTAAATTCAATCAAAATTTTATTTTCATATGAATTTTCTTACACACGTTATTGACAGTTTAATTCTTAACGAAAAACACATATCAAAATTTGCTCTTTTTTTAGTGATACATCATAGAAGCGCGCGTATCTTCTCGCGAAAATTGTGCAGTAGCTGTCTTCGAGTTCGAGCGGATTATAGGGGTGGCAGAGTTGAATGAAGGGTGTAGGAGGGTTCGGCTACTGAGGGATCGTTGTTGCCATGGTAACACCAACCCCGTCCTCTGGTCGTTTGCCATCCCCCCGAGAGGGATTCCTCCGACAGGGAGGGCGCGATCCATATCTGCTAACGCGAAGTCACGTTTGAATGGCCATTTTGTATCTACATCTATCAAAATATATTCCGAGTGTTGTCACATGCTCATCACCTGCGTATAACATTACAATACTATATAAATTTTAATTAAAACATTTCTTTATTTGTAACAAGTTTCAAATAAAGAGTTGATGTAAAGTAAACTCTCCTTTTTCTCTTCTTCTCTCTTTTTCTCGTATTTTTCTTATACAAATGCAGAATAATGCAAAGGTACATGTTTGCGGTACAGTGTTCTTGCCTTTCCTGCCGTGCGCGTTTACTTCGAAGGAAATGAGAGACTGTTCATACACGAAGTATAAATATACAGTGCCATAATACTAGGCGCGGTATAGCGTAAAAAGTTAAGCTTCGCACATAAATGATGCATATACAAAAGAGACCGCGTGTCACAAAGTTGGTTGGGAAAAATCCTGAAACAAAAGAATGAGGAAATGGTGATTAAAAAACAATGTTGCATGTTGCCTCGTAATTACATGTTCTTCTATTTATGTAATTTCCACTGAGCTCTGACTTCGTGAATTTACACGATGATGATACACATGGCCGCCGCGTATCATTTGATACACTTGATACACATCGCGCCGCACATGCCTTTTTAATAACCGAAGCCGCGAGCAAAAAAAATTAAAGATAAGAAAATTAAGATATTAAAAGTTTGCGGAATTTTGCTCTAGAAAATTTAAACATTTCCAATGTCTAAACTGATCTAAAGAATATAGAGCGCGATATTTACGAGCGATAATTATTAATCAAGTTCAGTGGTTATCATCGCCGGTATCATTAAAATCATCGCGCGATATCATTAAAAACTAACGTAACGACAGTAGTTAGATCGTCAACACCGATAATACGCGTCACGTGATTAATTATTCCACGACATTTACACTTCGCGCGCAGATCATCGTGCGAGGAAGCGTCGCTCGATAATAAAAAACAATTGTTTCCAGCGCATTGAACCGATGTTTCGCAAGGGTTGGACGTAGAGTTTCAATGACTCTCCGAGTTCAACCCTACACCCGACCCGACGCTCTCTCGAGAATGCATAGGGGCGCACTGTCGCGACATGTCTGCATTGGTCCTCAAGCATCAATTTAGAGAGTCACCCTCTTACAATCTATTACGACATTAAGAGGAAACAATCATACATATCGACAACTAAGAAAGAATGCGCTCAGATGAAATTGTGCAAAAAATAGAGAGAGCTGTTGAATCTTTTTGTACATTGCATTGCTTTTTTTTTTTATATACACACATTCTCAAAGCACTCAGACAATATTATGGCACTGATAGTCTCATTATATTAGTACGTAATACAAGACCGATCGCATAAGGTGTATAAATTGCTTTTAAATGAAGGCGAAAACACATGTTTGCCTCCAGACACTTGATACGTTACGCATAAATATTGAAATTAACATAAATCCTTATTAAAAATATCTTTCTTGAAGTTTAAGTGGGTGTTTCTTCACGGACAAAAATTTGCACCTTAATGTGTCTTCTTTTGCATACACGTGTACCTAATTTCTTATTCATTCACAAGTGCCCGAGTATACGTTACTGTATCTGACGCTCGATTACGCATGTAATAGCCTGCAAGCGAAAAAAAGCGAATGAGCGAAAAAGTGATACTATTCACGGTGGTCACGACTTTACATCGCGTGCGTTATGTGCCAACAAAATTTAAAAGAAATTTAGCTGTTTTACAGAGTGAAATTATTATTTTTTGCAATAACACTTAATCTCATTTTTCTGTAGCATACATATTTTTCATGTACATTCTGTTACAAAAATATACTTTTATTGTTTTTTATTTATTTAAAAAAACTCTTTCTCTCTGACCCCGTATATTAAACTAATAAAAAAAAAAAAAAAACAGAAATCAAAATAAGATCGGCGTGAAAATTCAAACTCCTCCCTTCTATCGTGAACATTATAATATTCCAAACGACCCCTGATCTTTTCTATGATTATAGCCTCTCGCGCGGAGAACGAAAATCTCGATCGAACTATTTAAGCCGTCTTCAGAGAATCGTATCCCTGGATGGGGGTTGAACCGGGGGGGAGGAGGGGGAGAGGAAAAGAAAGGGCGTATATACTTTTTCTTCGAGCTGCTCGAGGCAGAGCTGCGTGGTGGAGACCCATTTGCGATGCAGGTAACTCCACACCCCCCGAGATATCTTCCACCTTCGGCGGGCTGTTTCCTATATACGTGTGCGCACGCGGTGGGCGATGCACATGCAGTCCAGACGCGGGCAGAACCTATCTGCCATGCACGATCGCTCGGTTGCATATAGGCCGAGACGCGCAGCACGTCATTACGCGCGCGGAAAGCAAAAAGACGAGCGCCTCACGGCCGGCCAATCGCCGTTCGCGTGCTAATGAATCTGAACCGGCCCGACCAATGGCGGGACCCACGTACACCGCTCCCGCTTGTGTTGCCCGATGTAACCCTCGCAGCTACGTCGCGGAACCAAGCCAAGGGTGTGGTGCCCTTCGATCGGGCACTCGAGCACGGCACGAGATCGGGGTTGAGCGCGAATTATCGGGGAGGTTTTTACGGCGCGATTTTTCGACTGATAATGTTCGCTGCGTTAAACTATCAAAATTATTGATGCCGTAATAACGATAAACGCAGCATCGGTTGATTAGATTCAAAATGGTTACATATCAAAGTTAATTGAGTTAAGTTTCCGCGTACATATATATTTTATACTACACATGAGGGAAAGACTTTTTTATCTACATCAAATAAATGTTGAAAGACTGAGGGTATCTTCGATGTCATCTCCCGCTGTATCGAGATTGCTACGATGGCATGTCGAGAAAACCAGAAAAACCGCTCCTACGATGGGATACTATTATAATTTAAAAAACTTACGTTGAAATATAATTAACCATGAAAATTGTCCTGCGCGACTCGCACGGGTAATGTGAAACGCACGAACAGTCGCTTAAAAATTAATTCGCATCATCAATAACTAAATGTGCTTCGTCCCTGAGGCCACCCTAGAGATATATATGTATATAGCGAGCCGATGTCAAGAAACACTCATGCGACTATGTGCGCATTTTTTTATTGCTGCTCACCTCTATCCCATGTACATTACGCTCTCCCATCGACAACATTACGTAAGAGCAATAAACTTAAATTTTCATTTAAATCCTCGTAGATGCATTGAATCTCCTCCCACGCTTCTTCTCAAAGTAGTTGTTACTTCAACTCTTCCGATATTACTCATTCACGTGGTAAACCGAGTTTAACGAATCACACGAGGGACTTCCGTCTTTTGAAACGTATCTTCTCACATCTTGGAAAAAAGCAAAAAAATGAATTGAATGCAGAATTTGCGTCTCAAAAATCATCCGTGCGTTCTCTCGACTTTTAAACTAGGTATCAAACGTATCGCTGCGCGCTACAATCAAGGAGCACAAAGACCAAGATATCTGGAACTTCGAAAATGTTTCTTACTCCCTTATGTGACATACATATAAAGTGCCTGCACGCGCGCGGCATTGCCGTGTGCAACAACGGCTCTCGCGCTCGATGCATGTGCATATACGCGCTGTGTGCATCGCCGCCGCGGTAGAGAGCGGCGCGGTACAACGGAGTCGGAGAGGCGCTCAGGGCTATCATTATGGCGGCAGTAGACACTCCCTCCTTATCGCCGGTTTCCAACACGAGTCCCAGACGAACGAACGAACGAACGAACGCTCGCAGCTTCGCTTGCTCGCCATCATTATGTTTTCCGCGGCAAGCAAGAACGCACTACGCCAAGAGAGAGAGAGAGAGAGAGAGGAGAGAGAAAGCGAGAGAACTGCATTTCCGTATACATGTCTTGAATGTGCATGTGCAAGCGCGCGAGCGCGCAAGAGCGTGCATGCCGCAATGGAGAAGAGACGAGCGCATGTGCACGGGCGTGGATACTAACGCGGTCAGCATCGAGTCGTATTTTTTTTCTTTTTTTCTTTTATTTCCGTAAATATACGTCCGCGTATTCTCGTTGAATCTTCGTAGCCGATACTTTGGAGAAAGGTTCCTAGACCTAGTCCAAGTGGAAAGTAATCTGGTGGAAAAAAAGTAGAGACGAGAGTCTGGCAAATATACGTTTTCCCAACGCTTATTCTTTTCTCTTAACAAACTTTTTTTATAGATATATCACACGCAAGTTTTAAAATATAAATAATATAATATTTTATTGTACTATTATTAATTAAATTGAAGCAAAACTCTTTGTGCACTAAAACTAAAAGAATTTTGTTACAAAATAACATATACCAGACTCTGTGTGTGTAACGTGTTTTTTACACGAAACAAGAAAGTTTTATTGTGAAAAATTTATATTTCACGAAGCGTTATTTCCTACGGCAGAGTGTACCGGTATCAATGTAATTCCCAATTCTAGAAAAACATCAATCATTCGCAACGGCAGAAGAACCGCTATTCACCGTAAGAATAATATGGCGGATAAGGAGGTATCGACGATGGTTAGCGCACAACGCACGAGATATGAATTAGATTCAGTTGGTGCGGCTCGTATAAAGTCGCTTTCTTACTCTTTTTTTTACGACAACAGAAATTACAGTGCATATAAATATACATATACAATATATATATATATATGTATACATGTATACATATATGTGTATATAGACATGCAGTAGCGGTGCGTACGATCGCAACACGCACGAATGGCACAGACGGACGGGTGTGGACCGAGAACGCGGTCACCACTGAGTCGTACGTTCTTTCATTTCCTTAAACACAGCTCGGCGAGCTCTGATACTTTGTAATCGATAGTTGTGAGAAAGAGGCATAAGCATGCAGTAGAAACTGGACTGACCGAAATGGCAGACCGTGGAAGCGCGGACGTCTGTCATTATTGCGAATGATAATGGTTGCTTAGCGTAGCGGTTTAGTTGTAGCGCTGACGTTTGCTCTCTTAAGGGAAAAACAGATTTAGCAAGAAAACACGGACTTCTGGCAATTCAAAGATATCGTCTCACTCTCACGTGTATATTCTGCATACATTTTGCGCTAGTTTTATATATTTGGACGAATTAAAAAAAAAAAAAAAATTCAATAATCATATTCTGTCTGCTTGTGTTTCTAGAGACAATTTTGTTACGTGAAAATATATCCCATAAGTCGTAAAAAAAAATTAATGTTTCGCGCGATGATATCATTTAATAGCACACGTGTACTTTCGCGGAAATCGCGCTCGTTTATCGCGCTCTATTCTTTCTAATCTTTACAAGACATTTTTTTTTAGCGTTCATCGATGACGATACATCAAGCCAAATTATTGGAAATCGATCGCCTTCCGCCGAAGAAAATCGTAGTTTCACCAAAAAGATCACGAGATAACGTCTGATCGCGCAACGCGTATAACGATTAAATACAACAGGCGCGATCGTTATAATTCGAGATCAAGATAGTATTGAAAACGATCGACTTTGCGGCGTTCCGCGAGCGTGAAAATAATCGCTCGGAGTGTGTGCTATCGTTTCCGCTATCACCACACGATCTAAAAAGCACAATACATCAATGAGATTGATTCTAATGGCGATTGTTTTGTCAGTTGCGTTAAAAAATTTTACGTCCGCGATATCGACACACAATTATTGTGATTTACTTACTCTTCGAAAAAAAACTAATGTCACTTACAAGTTTGTCAAGTGTTTGCCGCTCTACCAGTTTTTTATATTCAATTGAGATGCAGTCAGTATCGAGAGGTATTATTATATATCCGTGTGATTATCGAGAAATCCAATACTGCCTGTTATTATTATTTTTTTTTTTTTTTTGTGATAAACGCCGTTTTCATAATTTTTGATATCGAACAATTTTATCGAACTTACGCGACGTGTCTTCCACATTTTACGTAAGAAGATAATCCTTACCTTCCGACGAATTTCTCTCGCGTGGTTCTTGCGAAATGTTGTTTCTCGGAGTCATTCGGTGGACTCAGGGATGTCCTTCGAAGTCGGGCAGACGGCAGAAATACGCAGGTATATATCCGCAAATGATCGGTTCTCAAGCGACAATTATTGTTCAACTCTTAAGTCGTAAACGTTGCAGAGAGCTCGTTCGAATTTCCGAAGTTTCGCGAGCATCTCGGCGCGATGCCAGTATATCTGCGACAGCTGAAGCGAAATATCGAAAGCGATTATTACAGGTTGCAATTGCTACGAGAGAATCGGAAGTTTAAAAAAACAAATATTCTTTGCGACACGATCCTGCCGTTCGAATAAATCTATCCGTCGGAATCTACGATACATTGTAGTATTTATTCTAATTATCTTGAGAGGCTTTTTATAACAAAGTGTCTCCGTATAAAACGCGCTACATTATTCCGCGGCACAGCAAAGAGACAAGTCTTCCTAGTCTGTAGAGTATCATTGAACATGACACTTCGTGTTAAAGCTGACATTTCAGAGATGCAATGCGGATTTTGTCTTGTTATGCAATCGAAGTGACATCCTACAGCACATAAATCTCCGTGTTACGCAATGATACACACGTGTTACGCGTCACTTCGAACGCTTCGACATTTTTTTCATACAAACGTAACGATAGAATCGACTGGATATAATCACCTGGCAAGAGATAATTTTCTTCTCCGTTCAATTTGAGATACACGAGAAATTCTTTGATGAAAAGATATCCGTCTGCGCGTTTACGTAATCATCCGCAACATACTCTTCAACGGAAAAAATATACAAAACAATTTAATCTCTCGGTTTCCTTTCTTGCGCAGAAATTTTTTCTTCAAAAAAGCCAGATTTATATATTTTATATTTATCTTTGTGTGTTATTTATCTTATGTTTGTGTAGGATTTATTATGCGGCTGTAAATAAATGAGCGTTCATCAGTAAGCGTTGATAGGCATTGAATATCGAAGGAAATTTTGAAATCGACAAACCTGAACACAGTATCGACAACAGCGGTGAGTGTATTACGTGCATCTAGAACACGACATGTGTGCCATGCAGAACGTTACAACTCTATCGGCATACAACACGCACGAAAGAGGAGGCCTTTTCACTGGAACTCGTCGAGGGCCACTCTAAACATAGCCACGACAATGCTGTGTAACGTTGCGCGTACGGTCGACGATACATCACCGCAATAGATCCACAAATAAGTTAACAGAAACGCAACTAGTGTCCCCTATTCGGTCATTTTTTATGTACTAAACATTTGATGTTAATATTTGAATAAAACGCTTTGTCGGCACTCAAACTTCTCTTCAATTGTCATAATCAACAAGATTTAATTAATTATTGATCAAAATACCGAACCACATCTTTTCCAATGAGCAGCTTCATTATGCTGCATCTACGCAACACACGTAAAACGGCCGCCATTTTTCATCGCACAACACACTTGTGTCACGAAGATTGAATGAGAGATCTACGGCAGGAGCGACTCGAACAAGCGAATGTCGCGTTTCACTCTCGAGAAGAAGTGTCGCTGATAACGTGACGCGGATGTGCCGAAAGTGTGTTCCCGATGCGGCCTCCGGTAACTTTCTTCCCAACCGCTACTTTTTTTTTTTCCCGCCGCGACTGACCGCCATGTCTCCCGGGGTCACTCACACTACGAAGAAAGTTCTTCACCGCAAAATCGAACGCGGAGGAAGTGCGAACGAAGAAGAGGAAACGCGCACCGCCGTGCAAGCGGGAGCATGTGACAATCCGCTCGCATCGAGGACCGAGGAGAGACTCTATAAGGTGGTTTCCATCCCCCAATAGCGCGGCTGGCGCGCTGGCGAACCCGACGCTGCAATCATTCCCCGGTAATGATTGTCATTACCGGGCACGGGAGGGCGAGCGAGAGCGGGTGGACGAACGGAGCAGAGGGATTGGCCTGCATTGCGATTGCGTTTCTGTCTGGTCCCATTGGCCGACAAACTGCGACTACGGACGCGTCTGTCCCCCGGTGGACGTCGGCGACTTGCATCGCCGAGGGTGGTGGAGAGGCTAAGTAATTCCCCTTTTTTGGGCGATCTTCATTTGATAGAGATCGACCGTAATCGCGGGCTTCGATTGTTAAGCCGCAAGTACTTTCAGGGAGGGATTCTGGTTCGATAAAGATTGTGTTTATCGATTTTTGCTGCTTCGTAAAGAGAAGACAGAACACGAACCCGTTTTTGCAGGCGGTGAATTTTGATTAAAGAGTCGAGAACTGCAGCTTGTTGACGAAATGTGAATGCAGCTCTTTATAAAGAGATGAAAACATTTTGAGCCTCTGCTTTAAACGCGCAAAAAAACAAAACTATTAAAAACAATATCTTATATGAATTGAGCTAAGCGTGTACAGAACTTTGGCAAACATTTATTAGCAGATTTTTTCAAGATTATAAAATATATAAATATAATAAAGAATTATAACTCAGTTACTGATGTAATGCATCATCACACACAAACAGTTATTGAAAATGATGTAATTGTTTCGATAACGTTGCAAATTTGTGCAACTAGTTTTGCTGCAACTGTGACATCTCAGAGAAACGTATTGCTCCGAGCGAAAGCAACCCTCGTCCGCATCTTGTCCCGCGCCCATTCATTACGTGGCACTCACGTGTGGCCATTGAGCGGAATGCAAGTAGCGAATTAACCCGAGAGATGCCCGGCTAACTTTTCTGAATGGGAGATTACCGACTCGTGCGTTCGCAGAATCGTTCAGTATCTTTGCTAATGTCTGCCTCGCGTTGCATCGATTTCTTTCTACGTCATCGATAATGAACGCGCGACCTATACCTATGCTGATGTTCTTTCCCACGAATAAACGGTCTGAAATAAAAAAAATAGATCTGCCAGATTATGTTTATTGCTTTCTACGATAATTCCTCGATTTGTTGAAAGCACGTAACTGCCGTGAAATAAAATTGCTGCTTCTCAAATTTAATTTATTAATTTTCAGCGATTTTATCAACGCTTGTGTTGAAGTCGTTCGTTTTTTAATATTGTTCGTAATAAGAGTTGTCGATTGCGATCGTTCAAGTGCGCACTTAATAGACTTTGCTGAACGAAACGTTATCAAGTCGATAAATCGGCTACGCGGATCTGAAGTGTCGGCGAAAAGAATGAAAGTCGACCAAGGGTAAGAGGCGTGGAGACCAAAAGAACACATCAAAGCAACAGATATCACAGGGAGAAGGGGGAGGGTTGCCTTTCATGGCAACCATTATCGCGTTACTTTCACGTGGCCGAACATCATTTGCCTCACACCCCCGCGATGATTTGAGGGCAACCTCGCCATCGACTCAACCCCTCGTGGACTGTTGAGACCATTATGTTGCAGCAAGTCGATCCGTTGTTAAGTTCACTATTGGATCAATCTGGCGATATACGAAAACCTTCTAAATACTATGACAGCTCAAAATTGATGTATTACGTTCTAAATACAGATCTACAGATTATATTATTAGAAAGCTAGTCATCATTAATCATTTGACGAAAGATACAATGTCAAAACAGTTGAGTTATTGTTGTTTGAAAACCCTCAACACTTCGACTTTTTTTAACGACTCAAAAATCATTGAAGAAACGAGCATATGTGATGTTAAAAATGCAACTATGAGCTCACAGATTGATGAATGACTTATCTAAATAGAATAACATAGAAAAAAACATGATGGACACTTATTCATATGCAAAACTTACGCTTGCAAGGTTAACTCTTCATCGCGACACATCTATTCTTCGTTTTCTTAAAAGCACAACATTGCGTCCGCGATGCATTTCCGCAAAGTGCTCTGTACACTTTCCGAGGCGGGGCGGAAAATCAGTCTGTGTCGCCCTTAAAATCCACGCGGAGGAAAATCGGCCGAACGATCTTACGCTCGATTATCTTCGCGGGCAACATTACCGACCCATTAGGACCGCCCGTCGCAGGCTCGCGATGACACTCTCGCTGCGCCGTCTCTGCTCGCATCGGACTCGAAATTCCGCAGCGTAGGCGGACGCGGCGAAATGGGCTCGTACTCCCTTCTGAGAGTCTCCTTTCCACCTCGTCTTCGTCCTTATCCTCTTCTCTTACGCTATCGCGAGTTGCGTCTCCTCGCGCGCCGACCGCATTAAGCACTTCGCAACGACAATTTACGATACATTTGCTGGGTGCACACGCGTGCGACTTCGCGCTTTATCTCCTCACGGAAAATTTCCCGAAGAAGGGTGGTGAATTTTTCCACCCATCGACCATACCTTAAATTCACTATGTTCGCTTAACGTTCTTACTTCCTGCTCGCAGAAGTGACATGTACTTCTTTTTATGGATATAGGGGATGTCATTTACCGCACAAGAAGAATGCTACGCAGTAATTTTGAGAAGTAAATATAAGTTACAGCATTTACATTCGCATAGTTCATGTGTATTCATTTTATAAATATATTTTTTTTTCAATAATTATCATAAAAAACTATACTATATAATTATCACATATATAAGTTAAAGCATATTTAACTTTTTCGCTAAAATATTTATTTATGATGTTTTACAAGATATGGTTGGTCTAAGCCGCGGGCGTTTATAGCTTTGTAATAGCAGACGATAATTGGCCGTATCCCTCAAAAAGCGCCTATCAGCGCTCGAATTACAAAGCTTGCTTTCCAGGCGCGCGGCCGAGTAGGAACCCACGAAAGTTGTAACTCGAGCAACGAATACGCTCGTGGATTGTTAATTAGGAGGCCCAAGTTTGCGAGGTAATCAGGAATCGCATTTCACCGGTGTACCGATGTGCCGCGCACGAAGTCGATTCATCAGCGGGGTGAACGGTTGTCATGGGGATGCGACCCGCCCCCTTATACCAACCCCATGCAAACCTGCGCATTTCTCGAAAACTGTTTCCCTCGCTCTTCGAATGCACGCGAGAACGCAGTTCCTTCAGATATATGACCGCGAAATTTCCCTTCGCGCCGTTTGCTTTCCTAATTACAGTTTGTGTATGACTATCTCTCGAGACGAGAATATTAACCTGTACACTGTTTAAGATAATGAATATACATATATGCGGTAAATGTATATTTGGAAGAAACACGGTACATAATTTTTGTCACTACGTGATATTACGATATTAAAATATGGATACAAGTACATTTTTCTAAAACTATTTTTAAAAAATAGTAATTTTAAAGAAGCTCTTGAATGTGTTTTCTGATTAACTTAAACGATGATTTCTTTGTAAAAGATATCAAACTAGCGAACTTCCAATTACGCTAAACAAAAGAGATGCAGGTGAAACAACATTATAAAAAATGACTTTGTCATACGGCGGCATCTTGAACACTTCTTCAGGAAAGTCTTAAAAGCTTTCCCAAATTTAAGGTCTCGTAATAATCTCCCACAAAAGTCAGCGTTTTTTGGGGTTTCAAGAGGAACGAATTTTATCGGATACAACGATCTCGTTCGCACGAGGATTTCCCGAGATATTGATCTGTGTGAGCTAATCCGCACTTGAGATGAATTAAAATTCGTTAAAATAATTCCTAGTATTTTGACAGTTTTACTTTAGATAATCTTTTCGAATAGCAAAACGTATTTGATTTTGTATTACACACATTAGGCTAATATAATCAAACCTTGTGTATGTGTTATATTTAAACAATTTCTAAAAAGAAAAACCTTTTCTAAAGTTTGTATTTTGCTTATGTTTAATTATTATTATTTTGTAGCATTATCTCGTTGGCCTTCTCTTTTTTTTATTTCACTCCCGTATGGTTTATTGTTGGATATTATACTTAGACTGATGGACTGGTGGTCGGTCTAATTTATTGTCACCTTTAAGAGCAGTCATCCGGTTGGAAAAGCGCCTACATCGATTTTATCCACTAAGTATCTATAATTGTATGGCGGACGGACACATAAAATTAATTACTTCCGGTGCTAGATAAATCTTCGGATCTCCTATTTTGGTATCGAATGACAATCCATTTCTTTCAATGCAGGAAAACCGTGTCGCTTAAATTCCGATTCTTTTTTTTCTTTCTTATCTTATATACTTCTTTTATCAATTCGATCCCACGATCCAACTATCTCTGTAGCGATACTTCTTAAAAGATGTTTGCAATAGCTGACTTAGCTTGATTTTCTTAAACAATATTCTACAATTTTTTTATTTAAGTTGTCAAATGTAGATTGTCTAAAATTATATTGCCACTAATGAGAAAAAGAGTTTGTTAAATTAAATATAATGCGAGTACAACTAATACAAAAGTATATAAAAAGACATTCATATAATTATTGAAAATGTTCGAAATTGAATTATTTGCGTACATTAGGGTGTTTAATATGTATTAAAAAATTCAGTACCAAAAGAATTAATACACTATAATATATCTTCCACCTGTCGTCACATCATGAATTACATTGTACCTACAGATTATATTCCATCGTGTTTTCTTTCTTCAGAGTTATACGGGGCGAGGGCCAACGTTGCTTCTCTCCGTTCGGCTCAATACGCTCGAACCACCGAGATGAGAGGAGACCCCTGCTGTGTGTTGTCGACTACCCGGCTACCTGCCGTCCTCTCTTGAGGTCCGCCTAAGGCTTCGCATTCATCATCGCGGACCACCTCCGGTGACACACAACGTATCGAGATTAACGCGGCATCCGGCAGCTTCTTCTTACGCTTATCGAAATTCCACCATGGACCGCTATCTCATCTCTTCCGCTCCCTTCCCATTCTTTTTACACTTTCATGAGATTAATTGTGTCGCGATATCTTATCGCACACATTAAAAAAAAATCTATCGTGCGCACTAAAAAACAAACTGTAACAGATATCTTCTTCACGCGTTTTCTCTGATATGATGTCGAATTGACGATCTGATAATTTACTCAAAGTAATAGAAGGTTTGATTCTATTAAA